AAGTATGAAGTATACCTCAGCACTGGGAGGTCATTTATATAGTGAATACACGTGGCGTTGCACACCTCCACGACTGTGAGCGATCATTAGGAGTTTTGTCTCTGAAACACCTCCCAGCGCCCCTCGACCCGCCAGAGACTCATCTCTACAGCTCTCGGTGTTTCGGCGGCGGGCGTCCCGCTGTGCGGCGGACATCAGTCAAACACTCGCACACTTTGTTGTGGCGCTACAGAGAAGAAAGATGCCTCTCCACTGCAGTGTGTGGTTGTAAGAGAGAGTTGAGATCAAACAGTGAGTTGAACAGTGACCCGAGGAGGCGTCTTTCATTTCACTGACAGGCATGAACAAAGAGATGCCCTTGTAAGTGTCCGTATGTCTGTGTGAGACCAACAGATAACAAACCCTTTTATTTCTTTAGTGATAACCTTTGTAAAGGGCTGAACTGTTTGTGTGCGGCCGTCTACTGTAAAATAACGGTCCTTGCACACTGTGTCCAATATTGTGTCTGTCCACAATAAGATGCAATGTGACTTTAATTTAATTGAATTTTTTTAACCCTCTGGGGTTGTTTGTTTCAGTGTCACACTCGGGGTGTTCGGGTCCAAATGGACCCAAAGGGCGAGATTCATATTTAAAAAAAATAAAATAAAAATACTCGTTTTTTACAATACTTTTTCTTTTCTTTTTTGGTGTTTTGAGAAAATTTCAACAAAAAAAAAAAATATATAATTAGTATTAATGCAATAATTATGACAAAATTTCCCCCCATTGAACATAATATAAAAAATATTTTTAAAAAAATGTAAAAAAAAAATTTAAAGCTGTATTTCATTTTAGAGTCAAGCCTAGGCCTCATAAAAGATCATTAAAAATGCAAAACACATGTATAATCTGAATTTTTTGGGTGTGTTTGTGTATAAAAGTGTGTTTGTGTGTATAAAAGTGTGTTTGTGTGTGTGTGTGTATCTAGATGTGTCTGTTTTGCACTCTTGATGTTTTATAGATTCACCCCTTCATTGTTGTGTGCTTTTTTTCAAGATCGTGGCTGATTTGTAGATTGTACGCACAAAACAACTCAGTATTTTTACATTTTTGCCAATTTCCCGTTCATTTTCCATGCACGTCCATTTGGACCCGAACCTGACTATTTTTTTACAACCACTTAGACTATTCACATCCTGTCCCCAATTTTTTGGGTGTTCAAATACCAAATATCAACAAAAGTCACCAAATTTTGGACCATTCAGAGGAAGCTGTGATTTTTAAAAAAAAAATGTATTTAAATTCTTCGGGTCCATTTGGGCCGAACAACCCCAGAGGGTTAATTTGTCGTTTCTGAGTTTGGTCTTATTTGACATCTCTGCTGTTTACATTCAGGTCTAGTTGGGTCTAAATCTATCGGGTTTGCCTCGGGTCTGGTGTTCATCTTTTTGAAAATGAATGCATGTATGTCAAGTCCGGGGGAAGAAGTGACTCGGGTCGGGTACAGATTTTAAGACCCCAGCTCAGAATTCCCGAGATAATTAACGTCTGCAATCAAAGGTCAGAGATCTGCATATGAACTCTCTTCACAATCATTTTGCAATCCACAGTCATGTTATAGCTTCAAAATACACATTACAACAGAAAACTAAAGTTATAATTCCTAAAACCCTTCAGGATTAAAAACCCCCCCTAAAAGCATGCAGCAGAACGCCTGACACATGACATTAAGTATAAACACCGAAGTCTCGAGTCCACCGTGACATTCAAAGTGACGTCGCTCACGTCTCCTGTTCTCCCTGCCCTCTGTAAACTGGATTAAAGCTGCATCTTGTGCTGTTTGTTGAGGTTATTCTTTCCCTTCATGATGTGAAATACTTTATAGCTCAAACTGCTGGATCTCATCAGACCGCACAAAGGCACGGCGCTTTATTATTATTTATGAGGTGGAACATTGTCAAGTGCTTTAGAATGACCTTCATTTAGTTGGAGACCATAAACCTTGACCGTCTTATCAGGAGGAATATTCCCATCACAGCAGCGCAGCACAACAGATCACAAGAACTCCAGTCATGTCTAGAGATGATGGAGATTCGCCGTGCTGGATTAGATGTTTTGGCTTTGAACTGAAGAGCGGAGCGTAAAGCAGCATGAGGTCCTGTTTCTGCCGGTGTGGGCTCGTACAGTGCTGGTCGAGCTGGAGACGCACATCACGCTGTTCTCCTCCAGCACTCCCGCTGCCCATGCGGCTCCCAGCATGCAAAACACACCGCATTCTGGGGTTTTCAGCAGGCCGGGTAGTGTACATACAAATATCTGCATTTTTTATGGACGCGAACCTCACAGCTTGAGCTGATGCATGTTTCATGACTGTTTCTGTGTATTCCATGTATTTATTTAAAGTGCCCCTATTAGACTATTTTAAAGAGTCCTAGTTTTGTTCTGGTCTCCTTAACATGCTTCCAAGGCCAACAATGAACATTTCTTATAATACACACTGCATCATCAGTTTTACTCATTCAATTTCAGCAACATTTCTGAAAGCCAACTCTGCTCTGATTGGTCAGATGACTCAGTCTGTTGTGATTGGTCAACACATTCTCATCCTTGGAATGCTATACGACAAAACGGCGCTATACTACGCACATGTCACCCGTTATCGTTAATATAACACGCGCTGTGATGGGTAGGTTTAGGTGTGGGGTAGGGTAGTCTCATATGACGCTAAAGGATTTATGACGCCTTGGGTTTGCGTGTTATATTAACGATAAAGGGTGCCATGTTCGTATAGCGCCGTTTTGTCACATAGCGTTCTATATGACGCTAAAGGATGAGAACGGGCTGGATTGGTCTCCTCTGCTCTGATTGGTCAGATGACCCAGTCTGTTGTGATTGGTCTACTCTGCTCTGATTGGTCAGATGGCCCAGTCTGTTGTGATTGGTCTACTCTGCTCTGATTGGTCAGATGGCCAAGTCTGTTGTGATTGGTCTACTCTGCTCTGATTGGTCAGATGGTCCAGTCTGTTGTGATTGGTCTGCTCTGATTGGTCAGATGACCCAGTCTGTTGTGATTGGTCTACTCTTCCCTGATTGGTCAGATGGCCCAGTCTGTTGTGATTGGTCTGCTCTTCCCTGATTGGTCAGATGGCCCAGTCTGTTGTGATTGGTCTACTCTGCTTTGATTGGTCAGATGGCCAAGTCTGTTGTGATTGGTCTACTCTGCTCTGATTGGTCAGATGGCCAAGTCTGTTGTGATTGGTCTACTCTGCTCTGATTGGTCAGATGGTCCAGTCTGTTGTGATTGGTCTGCTCTGATTGGTCAGATGACCCAGTCTGTTGTGATTGGTCTACTCTTCCCTGATTGGTCAGATGGCCCAGTCTGTTGTGATTGGTCTGCTCTGATTGGTCAGATGACCCAGTCTGTTGTGGTTGGTCTACTCTGCTCTGATTGGTCAGATGGCCAAGTCTGTTATGATTGGTCTACTCTGCTCTGATTGGTCAGATGGCCCAGTCTGTTGTGATTGGTCTACTCTGCTCTGATTGGTCAGATGGCCCAGTCTGTTGTGATTGGTCTACTCTGCTCTGATTGGTCAGATGGCCCAGTCTGTTGTGATTGGTCTACTCTGCTCTGATTGGTCAGATGGCCCAGTCTGTTGTGATTGGTCTACTCTGCTCTGATTGGTCAGATGGCCCAGTCTGTTGTGATTGGTCTACTCTGCTCTGATTGGTCAGATGGCCCAGTCTGTTATGATTGGTCTACTCTGCTCTGATTGGTCAGATGGCCCAGTCTGTTGTGATTGGTCTACTCTGCTCTGATTGGTCAGATGGCCAAGTCTGCTATAATTGGTCTACTCTGCTCTGATTGGTCAGATGGCCCAGTCTGTTGTGATTGGTCTACTCTGCTCTGATTGGTCAGATGGTCCAGTTTGTTGTGATTGGACCACTTACCAAACACCCATAAGCATATCTCAATTCCAGCTCTGGATGTTCCTCAGTGTTGATTTGCTTTGACAGCAAAAAAACATCATCTTCTCCACAATTCGACAACGCAAACCAAACTAATGTATGCCTCAGCTCTAACTGCAGCGTTTGAGAGGAGAGCAAATGAGACACTATTCACAGCCAGCCAATGAAGATGAGACGCAGGCGTTAGAGCTGCTACTAATGATAATGACTGTTTGTGAAGCTGTTACTTATACATGACAAATGCTCTCTTTTTGCCAAAGCGTTTGATCATACTCGTCAAAGGTTTATTAAACACAAGCCGATCGTTGTTATTGAGATCACGTGAGCGTTTGAATCGAGATTGCGATATCACCGATTAATCATGCAGCTCTATATAGCAGGCATTATGCAAATTTGTTACAAACCTGACTGGTTTCACTTCTATGAAACTTTGCAGACCATTTACATTCACAAACAGCTCTATTACACACCAAAAGAAAAGGAATCTATGAAAAAGCATAACTGGGGCACTTTAGGAATAAATATCAACGTGTAAAATTGAATCTTAACAATATTTTAACGTATATGCTGTTTAATTTTTTAATTTTCCCATACATTTACGTAAATTACATATGCTGTCGATAAAGCTTAAAGGGTTAGTTCACCCAAAAATGAAAATTAAGTCATTAATTACTCACCCCCATGCTGTACCAACCCCGTAAGACCTTCGTTCGTCTTCGGAGCACAAATGAAGATATTTAAGATTAAATTTGAGAGCTGTATAACTACCACATTGGCTGCCTAAGGGACTGCCTCTTGACGGCCCAGAAAGTCAATGAAGAAAATGTTTAAATATTCCATGTGACTACAGCGGCTCAACTATAAGTTTATCAAGCGACGAGAATACTTTTTGTGCGAAAAAACAAACAAAAATAACGAGTTTATTCGACTATTCCTTTTCTTCCTTGTTGGCCTGAAACGAGACTTCCTTAGATTTCCACGACGCATGCGCGAGAATTGCGATCTCCTTCAACTACTTCAGTTCAAGTTCAGTTCAAGATCGTGCCGCTCACCTCTGAAGAAGCAGTCTTTGCTGTGGACCACATAGATCCTCCTGCGCTGCAGGCACGCGGTGCGGTACAGCTCGCAGTGGTTCTCGTAAAAACGTCCATCGGAGCCACACACGGGAACAAACGAAGTGTGGCACCTTTCCTGACACACACACTCGACCCGGCCCGTCACATTCCTGACCACACACTCCCGACCCCGGCCACAGTACGTCCTCCGGCACGGACCCTCATCTGGAGAAAGAGAACGCTCAAGGTTAAAATCAGCATTGTTTTGTGTACAAGTCATTAGCTTTTCTTTTCTGACACCTTTCATACACAGACAATAGACCTATTAGCACGGGATTAGTATTATCTGGTGACCTGTAGTAATTTCTAATAATTGCAGAGGTTGTCTGAGATCTTAATCCCATGCGAATCGGCCATGTCTGTAATTTGTAAAGTAAAAATTCCCCCACAAATGACCAACTATATTTCGCCGAACACCGAGGTCCTGTGATGATATTAGTCCCGTGCGAATCGACATCTCTGTGATCTGGCTGTTTCATGTGCGCCTTTTTATTCATCTTTTGCGAAAAATGGAGGCTATGTTGGAGTGTTTTGATAGTATTTTTGGTGCTGGGTCATATCGCTATACTATGGAAGCTTGTTTCCACCACTGAATAAAAAAATATAATAAATAATTGTGACTTTTTATCTCACAATTCTGACTTTTTTTCTCAGAATTGCATGATATAAAGTCACAATTGCGAGTTGTAAAGTCAGAATTGTGTGTTATAAAGTCAGAATTGCGAGATATAAAGTCAGAATTGCGTAATATAAAGTCGCAATTCTGAGAAAAAAAGACAGAAGTGTGACTTTTTTTCTCACAATTGCGAGTTTACATCTCGCAATTCTGACTTTATAACACATAATTGCGAGTTTATATGTCGAAATTCTGACATCTTTTCTCAGAATTGTGAGATATAAACTCGTAATTGCGACTTATTAGGCCAATTCTAAGAATAGTTTAAATCTCACATTTCTGACTTTATAACACGCAATTGCGACTTTATATCTCGCAATTCTGACTTTATAACTATCAATTCTGACTTTATAACTAACAATTCTGACTTTATAACTCTCAATTCTGACTTTATATCTCACAATTCTGATTTTATAACTCGCAATTCTGACTTTATATCTTGCAATTCTGACTTTATAACTCTCAATTCTGACTTTATATCTCACAATTCTGATTTTATAACTCGCAATTCTGACTTTATATCTTGCAATTCTGACTTTATAACTCTCAATTCTGACTTTATATCTCACAATTCTGATTTTATAACTCGCAATTCTGACTTTATATCTCACAATTCTGATTTTATATCTCTCAATTCTGACTTTATATCTCGCAATTCTGACTTTATAACTAACAATTCTGATTTTATATCTCTCAATTCTGACTTTATATCTCGCAATTCTGACTTTATAACTAACAATTCTGACTTTATAACTCTCAATTCTGACTTTATATCTCACAATTCTGACTATATCTCTCAATTCTGACTTTATATCTCGCAATTCTGACTTTATATCTCACAATTCTGACTTTATATCTCGTAATTCTGACTTTATATCTCACAATTCTGACTTTATATCTCGCAATTCTGACTTTATATCTCGCAATTCTGACTTTATATCTCTCAATTCTGACTTTATATCTCGCAATTCTGACTTTATATCTCACAATTCTGACTTTATATCTCGTAATTCTGACTTTATATCTCACAATTCTGACTTTATATCTCGCAATTCTGACTTTATATCTCGCAATTCTGACTTTATATCTTGCAATTCTGACTTTATATCTCGCAATTCTGACTTTATATCTCGCAATTCTGACTTTATAACTCGCAATTGCGACTTTATATCTCGCAATTCTGACTTTATATCTCGCAATTCTGACTTTATATCTTGCAATTCTGACTTTATATCACGCAATTCTGACTTTTTATCTCGCAATTCTGACTTTATAACTCTCAATTCTGACTTTATATCTCACAATTCTGACTATATCTCACAATTCTGACTTTATATCTCACAATTCTGACTTTATATCTCACAATTCTGACTTTATATCTCACAATTCTGATTTTATATCTCACAATTCTGACTTTATATCTCTCAATTCTGACTTTATATCTCACAATTCTGACTTTATATCTCGTAATTCTGACTTTATATCTCACAATTCTGACTTTATATCTCGCAATTCTGACTTTATATCTCGCAATTCTGACTTTATATCTCACAATTCTGACTTTATATCTCGTAATTCTGACTTTATATCTCACAATTCTGACTTTATATCTCGCAATTCTGACTTTATAACTCGCAATTCTGACTTTATATCTCACAATTCTGACTTTATATCTCGCAATTCTGACTTTATATCACGCAATTCTGACTTTATATCTCGCAATTCTGACTTTATATCTCGCAATTCTGACTTTATAACTCGCAATTGCGACTTTATATCACGCAATTCGGACTTTTTATCTCGCAATTGTGAGAAAAAAAGTCAGAATTGTGAGATAAAAAGTCGCAATTATTTACTTTATTTTTTTATTCAGTGGCGGAAACAAGCTTCCATACTATACACAGCTACACAATTTGCAGAAAATTAAAGCTGAAAATCACCAGAAGAGCAAACTGATTGATTAGATGGAGATGAATGAATGTATAGAAGCATGTGGTAAAGCTAGACCTATAATGAAAAGACATTTCTAGTCTATTGACAATCATATCCGGAAGATAAGTCAGTGAATTCGAGAAAAATCACAGATGTGGCGGGATAATTTAGAAATCACACGAGGTCCCCAGATAATACTAATCCTGTGCGAATGGGGCTAATGTCCACCATTTTTTTCCGAATATCCTGTTTTGATCTCACATTATGAGAGTAAAATGAGTTTATATATGCTCTACTATGATTGCAGTAAAACAACGACGGAAAAACATTGTTTGTAAAGCATTTTGGACACACTGCGGTCCACACTATCCCAGAGAATATGTTAAAGTTTCTCCAGCCAAGTCTGAAAGCCCACTCCCCGTGGATTCTCTGAGTTGGCGCTGGGAAAGCTGCTGAAGTCTGGTTCACTTTTTCCAGAGCCGCAGGAACGCAGTCGGGGAACTCCTGCTGGGGTCACGCGCCCGAATCTCAGCCTGTGCATCATCCATGCCAGCTTTAGTACTTTCTTCGGGCGACAGCTGGTAGGTAGGAAATGATTCCCAATTAATTCTGGGACACTGACTGAGACCACTGGAGTGGCATCAAACCCGGATCGCCACCGGCCGCTCTGTTCACCGCATGCAGTAAAAGCTGGCCGTGTAAACTAAACTGTGTACAGATGAGGACTTCAGTGTAGACCGCAGCATATCTCAATTATCATGGATTGTGTGATACACCAGCAAAAATCACTATACTGCGTTTAGGGTCGGACATCGAGAACACTTTCCATTTTAGATCCGGTTCCAAATTTCCGAGATTTTCAACAGATAAGATAACACAAAAATGCACAAATACACACTCCTCTTTCACTTCAATGGACACATACACACCGAATTATGATGAAATATCCTAACACAATCAATTTGGGCTTAAACAGTTGAGAAAGAAAACGCATATTGCACCCGTGCATTCGCTCTTAAAGTGACAGCAGCCTAATAAACCTGCGTCAGTCCGTTTTTAATGTTAATCAAACAAAAGACAAAGAGAAAATCACTCTTGACTTAATCATTTTTGTAACTTTGATAAGGATTCATCTATATTTTATTTATACAAAGAAAACTATGAAGTGTTATTTTAAAATTCTTTGTTCATTTGTATTTATTTGTGCTATTACAAGTTATATACTTGTTCTTATTTAATTATTGACTGTTTACTTGTCTTTAATAATGTTTGAAATTTAAATTAGATGTTTTTGCTGTGACATTTTTATTAAAACCACTGGCAAAAGTTCATTTAGGCTGCTCTTTTTTTTGTAAACGATACCCAACCTTAGCGTGGTCTGTCTGAATACTCGATTGTGATTGTCTGGAAGGTGTGCATTAAACTCGTTACACACGATTTATAGGCAGAACGCCACATGCTCTCTAATCAAATCAAAATGTTACGTTTTTTAGCTTTTAGTATGAATATGTTAGCCTTAAAGGATTAGTTCACTTTTGAAAAAACTTTTGCTGATAATTTACTCACCCCCATGTCATCCAAGATGTCCATGTCTTTCTTCAGTCGAAAAGAAATTAAGGTTTTTGATAAAAACATTCCAGGATTTTTCTCCATATAATGGACTTCAATGGGAACCAAACGGTCCAAGGTCCAAAAGACAGTTAATAACAGTTTCAGATGCAGCTTCAAATGTCTTTAAACGACACCAGACGATGAATAAGGGTCTTATCATGCGAAACGATCGGTTATTTCAAAACTTATTCCAAAAATGTAACTTTTCTAAGGACAAATGCTAGCCTTGCTCTATTCTGTGAGGCGCGTTTGTAACGTCACGTAATACGTAATAATTACGTTCAAAAGGTCACGGGCGACGTAGCCGGAAGTACAGAATCAAAATCGTCCGACATCGTTGTTTTACCTTTTAATTCCTTTTTTGTAAACGGCGTTTGAGTTAGTTTGCACGTTCAACCTATGCGTTCAACTTGTAAACACTCTGACTCTGTCCTTCCGGCTACGTCGCCCGTGACCTTTTGAACGTAATTACGTATTACGTGACGTTACAAACGCGCCTCACAGAATAGAGCAAGGCTTGCATTTGTCCTTATAAAAGTTACATTTTTGGAATAAGCTTTGAAATAACCGATCGTTTCGCATGATAAGACCCTTATTCATCGTCTGGTGTCGTTTAAAGACATTTGAAACTGCATCTGAAACTGTTATTAACTGTCTTTTGGACCTGAACCATCCGGTTCCCATTGAAGTCCATTTTATGGAGAAAAATCCTGGAATGTTTTCATCAAAAACCTTAATTTCTTTTTTCGACTGAGGAAAGAAAGACATGGACATCTTGGATGACATGGGGGCGAGTAAATTATCAGCAAAAGTTTTTTCAAAAGTGAACTAATCCTTTAAAGTTATGAATAAACTGGTGTGTTGCAAAATAATGACAACATTCATATTCAGGAGACATAAGCGTTCACAACTAACATCTCTCACATCTCCACGGACTTCAGCTTCGAATCACATCCGTCCAATCTGAAGCTCCGCCCCCTATGCTATAAACATCACCTGGC